GTTTGACATAAAAATCAGTATAAAATTATCTCTAAAAGAGAGAAAAAAGAAGGAGATTGGTTGGAGAGAGATTGAAAGATAATTTACCTACTCACGATATATCGTTTCCTTTAAAATTTTAACCTATTCAAAACTAATGTAAGAGAAAGAGAGAGAGAGAGAAAGAGAGAGAGAGGGGCGGGGTGGATATGAGTTTGATCTACAGTAAGGCAGTCAAAAGTTGAGGTGGTGCATGTTCTAAATTTAGAAGACAGACAAGAAAGGATGTGAAAATGTATATTAATTGTTTAATTGTATAAACCTTGTTTTAGTTATAATGATAGTGATGGCACTCGGTACGTTTGATTCTAGCTTTCTGAAGTGCGCAATGATTTAGATCATGATAGTTTAAGATCTTGAATAATATACAAGTCATGTACTTTTCAATCAACTCTGACTTTTTTCATGTTTTCTTTACATCTCTTTCTTGTGCGTACGTCTTCAGCAAGAAACTTGACCCTGACTACGTTCTCATCAGTCATCGTCAAGCCACTCCGAATAGGACTTGTCCTGGTGAATTAGCTCTCTTTAAGGGGATCCAATCTTGGCCTCACTGGGTAAGAAAATACAAACAGTCATACAGATAAACCCCTGCCTTTCTTATAGATAAAGTTGACGTCTGGGGGTGTTTCACAAAGCCTTTTTCCAATGACAAATTACAAAAACCAGTGACAAATCTGCTGTTAACCAATCAGAAGCAAGGATTGCAGTAGCTTATAACAAAAACGGTCATTTGTCACTGATGACAAGTTTTGTGAAACGGGGCTCTTGTCATATGCTTACACTGTGAAAGAAACTTCCTGAAAGCAATTGGGAGTGGTTGATATGATTGTGGAATGCATAGGTACACTGTGCAGTTTGGGAATGATCTAAATGAAAGGAAATTGTACTGTTAGAGATCTCATGGACTGCACACATAAATGGGTATACAGGACTACACAGATGGTTGATACAAAATGTTCAGCTGTTTCTTGACGTATTTCAAACATGAGGGTATTGGAATAACCTTTTTTTTTCAGAGATGCTTTTGCAAACTGGCATAGAAAGAATTTAAGGCTTACAGATTATATCCCATCTTTACAAAAGCATAACTTTCTCTTTACTAACTCTCTCATCATCTTATCATATCACTTAATGTGCCCTCCTTGCATTCGGTCTAGTGTACAACTAACGATACTTTGCTCCATGTTCCTAAAAAAGACCGACAAACGTGTGCTCCTCGACTTTGGCAATATTCAATGATCCAAGCGCTGTGAAACAACAGTAGGTTTTAAAAGCGTTACACGGAATAAAATTATTGTATTTTCTACTAATTATTTGTTACATGATTCATTGAACTTGTTAGTTTAAATATTCTTATTACTTAAATATGTTTCAATCTCAGTTTTCTTAAATGACTGTCACCACAATGCGTGCTATGTTTCCTTTCTCTTGTCTGCAGAAACCGGGAGACCATTTTCCACCGAAGCACTGAAAGAGGACTACTTTTTAGCCAATCTCTGCTTAGCTAGGGACATGATCAGTCCTGGGCATGATGTACATGTATATACTGCGCAGTAAGGAGTCGATGTAAAACCAAAGTCGATATGTTTCGGTCCCTTTCAGGGAAAGGGCTAAATATATGATATGTTGCTTTCTAAATTGGAAACAATAATATATTTCCTTTCATGCTACACTGCTCTAAAAATATCCATGTACATTGGAAACGCCATTTTCGAAAGATTGAATGCAAAAACAAAATGCAAATTTTGATCGAAAAAAAAGGATTTTGAATCTCTCTATGTGTTGCCAGTTTAAGAATTTTAAAGCTTAGTTTCCTTAAAAAAAAAATGGCCATGCAAAATGAACACAGTGTGTAGGTAAATCGTTACATTTTCCACTCATCAACATTCATGTATTTTTAGGTCTCTAAATCAAAAGTTTAAGAGTCAAACCACAAAATGTAGAATGACTGTCTTGATTGGAGAAACTGTACTCAGATGTAAAGTAATAGAAATTGCTCAGTAGTAAACGATTGCTTGTTAAAAGGATATTTGAGTTTTGTTGCAGAGGGCGCTACACAAACTATTTGTTGGTGAGATAATGAATAACTGAGTGTCAAATTTGAAAAACATACAATTTAAATGACTAAATCATAATATCAAAGATCGTTTACAAGAAATATGTGAATGGAATTTTCAATTTAATAGAAAATACGTTAAACAAATGAAAATAAAATAAATAATAGATATAATTAACCACGTATTAAAAGAAAAAAAAAATGATTGAAAAACTACATTTTTTATAATCTGATATAGCTTAACACACGGGATACCAAAATTGTTATTTACATATTTACATTCCATTGCTCTTTAATCAATACACTAAGGTTGTTTAAAAGATAGCTTAAAAATGGATACATTACATGTATGAATACACGATATAACGTTAACCATGTCAACCAAATTTAATAATTTGCAGATAGGAAAAATTGGGTAGCTTCGCACGAAATCCCCCAACAGTTCACTCACACGTCATCTGCAGATAACAGGGCTTTTAGAGTGTGTTTAATACTTTCAAAGTAGGTGACGTCTTCATAGAACTTTCAAGTTGGTTCCATACTCTAATTCCAGACATTATGACTATGTTTGAATGTGTCCGTCCTGAGTTTGGGTACACAATGCATTCCTTAGAGCGTGTGTTGTGCTGTGATCATAGTGAACTGACATGATGTGATTCGATTAGATTAGATTTTATTTGACTCTATCGACCCCCTTCGGGGGTATGAGAGCACAAAATATTTACAACACAATACAGAAAGATAAATAAAACAAGTAAGATATGGTAATAAAATACATAGACATGATATATATATTTTTTTATATTTCTAAAACACAATAAACATGAGCTAAGACTAAATATACACTATACAGTTTAAAGTTATAAGTCTAAAATATCACGTGGTTTGGTTTGTCTACCACTACAAGTAACTACACTTTTATTAACAAAAATAGGACCATGCCTTTCAGCCTTAGGATCCAACGAAAAGAATTGTATTATTACTGTAATTATGAATTTTACGAGTTTTCTTTAATCGTTTAACGCTAGATCTATTAAAAAATATGTCCATGTGAAATATGCTGGGGTTACTCACAACTAACTGTCGATCTATGTATAACTGCCTTTCTTTCTTGAAAAAGGGCAGACTAGAATTAAACCTTGTTGGACTCTCATCATAACTTTTGAGGAACTCTAAGTAGCCCCTTTTAAAGAAACCGTCTGTTCTCGGTTGGACAGATATGATACAAACCACTGAATACTAGTATCAGAACATCCTATGACTGTCAATTTATGTAACAGAATATCGTGATCGACAGTGTCAAATGCTTTCCTCAAATCAATGAAAGCTACTCCTGTTAACTTATTATTTTCTAAATACAAAGCCCACTGGTTTACAATTTTCACTAGAGCTGTTACAGTAGAGTGAAGAGGACGAAAACCTGACTGGTTAAGATGCAATATTTCATTTTGTCTAGAAAACCACATAGTTGAAAATGCCCAGCTCTCTCTAGAATTTTACTCACAACGGATAATACCGATATTGGTCTGTAATTCCCGGAGGTTTGATGGTTTACTTTGAAACAAAATACATAATTTGACTTCTCAGCATTTACACATTGTCTATTGCTTCTAAACCAGCATGACACCTTTTCTAATTCATTATTCAGATTTCTATTCCATATTTGAATCGTTTTAGACGAAAAGAGAATATTGGTATCGTCAGCAAATAAGAAAAATTTCAGTTGGTTTTAACAATTTGGTAAGTCAATTACATAATTATGATATGAAGAGAAGTGGGCCGAGGATTGATATGTGGACCGTGGCGGACACCGCATGAAAGTGTTAATGAGTCTGATAGAACATTTATTAAACAAAAAAATATTGAGTAACCGACGACATAAATAATTACTCGTTTACCGTAGTATTGTAGTTTCAATAATAGAAGGTTAAAATAAATGGAATCGAACGCCTTACTGACAAAGGTCTAACAATATATCAAATGCATCTAATCTTTGTTTAAAGGAGTTGATCCAATACTCCTGAAAATATATTAAAGCCATTTCAGTTGTTCGTTTCTTATACTAATATTGATTCTCGTTCAGAAGAGAATATCAGTACGAGAAGTCACATAAAAGATTATAAACAATTAATTCGAGAATTAAAAAAAAAAAGGTATGACGGAAATAGGTCAATGCTCTGATACAATATATAAATATGTCTATTATCTTCTTGTAAACCTGAGCGACTTTTGCAATTTTCAAATTCAAGGGAACAGTGTTGGTTGACACTGAATTGTTGAAAACATAACATAAAGGCTTTCGGTTAAAATGTATGTTTCTTTTTAACAATAAAAGGAAAAGAATAATCTCTACTTGCAATGCTGTATTTGATGAAAGAAAAACGTGGCAATAATGACAATAACATGGTATTCTCATGTCACCCACATTGGGGTATTGGAGAAGTTTACAATCAGTTTGATTTTGTCAATTTAACCTGTATAATGTAAATAAAAATATCACCATCGATAGTGGGAAAAATTATGATGATAGTAATAATAATACTATTAACAATATTAATAATAATAATAATAATAATAATAATTAAAAAAATAATATTAATAATAATTACAACGATAATTAATGACAACATAAATGTATGCAATTTAAAAAAGAAAGTTACTGACACCAATACATTTTTATTTGAATTAATGAATTACTGAAAATATTCTTTATATCAATTTAATAATTTGATATAAGACAAAAAAAGAAAAACATAAAGATAATATTGAACTCATAACATGTTATGTGCACTACTTAAATTAATAAGATAATCTCAGTAAATAAATCACGCATGACTTGGGTTATTTGAAATGAATTCATTAGTCTGACTTGTGTCCATGACGTCACGATAGTTTTCACCAATCATGCCTTGCTGTGGCAAGCGAAGCATCTTGCAAGCACCATGAAGACAAACCCACATGCGTCTAGTGCACCTAAAACCAAGAAAGCATCGTTGTAAGATAGCGTCCTGTCATACATCCAACCTATGCAAACAAACAAACCAGCAAACTGTTAAAAACCGGCATTATTACTACAAACAACCGTATATGCATGTGTATATAAAGAAAAAAAATATAATGTAAAAAATAAAGTTTCAAAGGTACAGAAAGATATGGTTCTTGAAAGCCCGGCTTTGAAATTACTCTATTATCTTCCGCGGTCAAGCAGTGATGTATTATTCCCACGTATCTCAAAAACCTCCCTTATTAAAATTAATTTGCTTTTATTTTATGTAAGAATATGTAACAATTCGAATTAAGCAGTAATACAGGGCAATGTTTCATAAAACTTGCTATCAAAAACAGATGCTAAATTTCTATAACAAATTTGCTCTCAGCCAATCAGATGCCACGGTTTCAGTAGCTTGTAACAGTTATTTTAACTTCTGATAATAAGTTTATGAAACAGGTCCCAGATTTGGTAATCCTAGATGAATCACCAAATAAGATATTCACAATTTCAGAAACGTCATATTACCTTACCAATTTCTTGTCTAAAATTTCTCAAAAATTTATATTTTTTTGCTTTTTCACGTCTCAGATAACAGTTTCCCCTCCCCGATTTATTCTTCAACATAAAAGTGGTTTAATTTTCCTTTCACTGAAACGTGGAATTCAATAATAATTGTATTTAAGCATGCATATTTCTCTCTCATGAAATACACGGTAGACAATTTTATGTTGGTAACTCAGTTAAAGTAGTGAATATTTATACCTGTAATCAGTCCTCCGAGCGGTTCCGAAAACCCCCGAACGAACATCGCAAACGACAGAGCCGTCGGGAATCGTTCGGGTGAAACGGATGAGCGGCTGACGAGGGTTACGAGGACGGTCTTGGACCCGTTCGATATACCATTGATGACGGCCGCGATGGCGATTACCGCAAACATGTTGGCGACAGGGTTCATGAAGAATGCGATGGCGCTTATCATCAAGGCGCCAGCGAAGGCATCGGTTGGAGTTAGGCAACGTTCGGTCATCTGGAGGAAGAAGCCGATAGAGAGACGGCCAACAACGTTAGAAGCACCTGCGATGAAAGGGTATGGCACACAGTTTGATCAGGGAGGTGTTTTAGACTGGTTTGATGTTACCATGACGGGTGAAAAAATGACAACAGTTAACTTATTACTAACTTCCCATGAAAATAGTTATCTTATAGAATCAAGCAAAATATGAAATGTAATTTCCTGCCTTCGAACAAGTGGATTTTATTATGGCAAACACAAATATGGCAACGGCTTTATAATCATCCCAAACAATTGTTTCTTCTCATAAGTAAAGCAATATACAGGGCATATAAGTAAAAAGGAACACAACTATGGTAGCTCCTAATTTAAAAGTAATAACTAATACGACTTTAAAATTTATTTCATGATGCAGAGTAACCATGCAGTGCTGTCAAAATCGCCTAATAATTATTCTGTTATAATTATTATTTATGATTAATTGATTACTAGCCTAGATCTATTTGATGGTAGACAAAATGGGCATTAGACAAACTGGTTTTTAGACTAAATGATCAATAGACCAAAAGGGTAGTAGACATTTTTTAGACAAGACGAAATGGCAATTTGGTAATCTACATGTCAACTTGCAATCGAGATCAATAGTTAGTACAGTATTTACACAATTCTATAGATCACTATATTCACTATGAAAATGTAGAAAAACAACGACAATGAAAATCAAGGTAAAAGTGAAAGTAATATTTTTTCTCGTAAAAAGTGGGAGTTATTTTATCACTGTTATTCTTTTGTGTTTTTTTTTGTTTGCATGAAGGAGCTATTGATTTCTTAGGTGTTCCCCTGTATTTGAATAACATACTTTGAAATATCGAGCTTTTTACCACACATTCTTTACAAAGACAGATATGGTGAAACATTAACGGCGCTGCTTGCGTCTTTCTTGAACAACTCACCTCCTATTGCTGCAAGTGAAACAGCTGTATAAGGTGAATACCCCTTTGCTATGGCATTTGGGACCAGGAAAACTATCCAACCGGTATAAGTAATACCATGAAGAAATATAGCCACGAGGGTTAGAGAAAACATAGGATAGTCACAAAATATTCTAAAATCCAAAATATGAACCATCTGTATAAATCCGTGTTTAATATTTTTCCAAACGCCCCAAGGTGCTTGATCCTCCAGCAATTCCTCAGAGTGGTAGCTTGACGAACTCGTCCCTGGTAAATCTTCTTTCCTCGTCGGCGAGTTCTTTGAAGTTGGATCATATTTTTGGCGTGAGTCGGCTGGGGAGAGAGTGTTTTCGTCCCCGTCGTTGTCAGATGCTAGTCTTGAGTAGGTTGGACCATGGTTAATAGATTGATTAGATGTCAGAGGCGTAGACTCATGGGTGCGGTCGGTAGGACAGGGGCGAAGGAGGGCACCAGCGACCATGGTTTGGAGATTTAGGCCACCTATTAACAGTAGTGCACCCCTCCATCCGTAGACTTCAATCAAGAACTCTGTGAGAAGGGGTAAGACCATCATCCCCACCCCGCCACCGCTTAACATGATGCTTGCTGCGATGAAGTAATTGGCGGGGAAGTACCGAACGACAGTAACTCGTATTGATAAGATGACTAACCCGTAGCCCAATGCTGAAAAGAATTACAAATGAATACAAATATTCATGCTTATATTTACTCTTCACGGGTTACCCGTCACAGGTTACCCATGAATTAGTAAATTCACCGCGCATAATACACTGTCGCTCATAAAGGTGGAAAAAAAAATTTTTATCCCAATTTATGGAATTATTTTAAAAATAATTTAAAAATAATAGATCTAAATAATAGTATACATTCTCAGATTTTATTGAATAATAATTTGCCAATGTGTGTTTTGCGTGACTGCTAAAGCATGTGTTTGCTACTATGCTTATCAACTAGGGGACCTTAAGTCATAAATGACAGTAATGAGGATTAATGCCCCACAAAAGGGCACTAATATAGCACATCGACACGGATTTGATCCTGGGGCCTCACAGTTACGAGGCCATTGCTTTGTCACTGAACCATAACTGTACGCAGCGGGGGCTAGGGTAGGGGGCAGTTTCCATAAATTTAAAAAAAAAACAGAAAATGCAATACATTTTCAATAATTTATTGCATTTTACCCCGGTTCCCAACATAAAAAAAATCCTCTGTGTGCCCATGCCTTGAGACATCATGCATGGCCGTCCACAGGATTTTGTTATGTTGGGGACCGGGGTAAAATGCAATAAATTATTGAAAGTGTATTGCATTTTCTGTATTTTTTTTTTGGCATATCACTATCACTACACTTAAGAAGGAAATAGAGATAGGGCGGGATAGAAATAAACATTTATGCCTGATACATGCCTGATACATGCCTGATAATTTAACCTTACAGAAAATTCATTCGACTTCGATAAAAAAAAAACATAACTGAACCATTTAATAATGTCCAAAATATCTTTAACATAACAATTATATCATTTCAGAATTAAAATGTCTTATATTGAGATGTTTTCCGTCGACCAATATATGAAATAGGAAAGGAAAGTGGTTGAAAAACAATCTTAAATTTAACTGGGTTATAAAAAGTATTTGTAATGACTCCATGCAATCAATAAATTATGATCAGAGCAGAGATTGAATTGCCGCTATACATGCAAATATCGCTTACCATAATGTCTCAGAGAATGTGCGAAATGCATTTTTATTTACTTTTGTTTCCTTCATCAAAGTATCTCTTTATCCAAGTCACTTTCATTGCACGGTTAACCGATACAAGATTAAATGCCTACGATTTTTTTAAATTTTAACATTGTCTTAATTTCCTCAAATTTTGGTTGAAATGTTCAGTTCATAAATATTACCATAGTGGTACTTCTTCAGTCCTCAAGCTTATTCATAAAGCCTGTTTTCAGTCGTCGTTTTGAGTTTTTTTTTTAAAAGAGTAAATAAAAATCATTGGCAGAATTACGCATAAGAAATAACCAATCTTCAAATGAATGAGAAACGAATAAAAACTAAAACAATTAAACAAACAAATAAACAAACAAACAAACAAGCAAAACAAACCAGTTATACCTGAAATAATTACGCATGTCATGAACTCTTGAATGGTGGTAACAACTGCGCATCCACAGTATCCTCCACCCGCCATCAATCCTCCGAAGATGATGAGTTTTCTTGCATTGATCTTCTTTAAGAGCTGATTCGTCACAATGGCTGGAAATATATAATAATGATAATAATAAATATAACAACAACAACAATAATAACAATGATGATTATAATAATAATAATAATAATAATAATATTAATAATAATAATAATAATTATTATTATAGATTGTTTTATAGATTGAGTAGATATCGAAGCCTGTCGTTCGTAACCGACAAGTCACCACATTCTTGTAAAATTGAACGAATCAATCAATGTCAAAGAATTGATTCATAATCACTCTATAATCGTTTATTTACGTTTACCATACCTGCTTGTGTATCCATTACGAATGAACATTAGGTGGGTATCTTGAATGTACGTTTTGACTCATTACCTCCCCATATATTTCTCCCTGTTTAATACTGATAACATGTTCAATTTGTCTTAATCAAAGCCCAAGATTGTATTCATACTTTCTTTATGCAAGAGAGAGAGAAAATATATTAACTGATAATTCTCTTCTACAAAATGAATTGCATCATTTTCAGTATGATTCAATTCACTGCAAATATTCAGAATCTGACTATGGTAAATTCACTTAATACACCAACGCTTCCATCGTTCCAACCGATAGACCATGTGCCCATACACCATCTTGAGCAAATATGGAAAGTTTCCAAATGAAATTTGAATTAAAAAAAATAAAAACAAATATATCATGCACACTGTTAAAAAAGTTGGGCAGATGTGACTAGGTAAATCGAAGTTTGGCAAATTTTGTCCGATAATTGGGTTATTTTCTTCCAACCATTTACTATATGTCAAGTTACCTCACGAAAGGTAAAAAAATAGGTTGGGTAGGTGTTACTTGGCAAATCGATGTTGGGCAAATGTCGTCCAACAATTGGGTTATTTCCTACCGACCATGCAGTAACCGATGAATTAATCGGGTAATGTTTTTTGGCAAATTAGAGTTTGGCCATTTTTGTTTCACATTTGGGTTATTTTCTCCCAACCATTTACTACATGTATTTACCCAATTACATGATCAATATAAGTTGGGCAGATGTAACTGGGCAAACGTCAGTCGGGCAACATTATATCCAACACAAGGATTATATTAGAGGTGTCTTGGTCGACTGGATTTGTCACACGACTGTGGATCACAAGGTCCGTGGTTGGAGCCAAGCCGCGGCACTAATGTCCTTTTGCATATAATATTTTATCCAACTTATTTGCTCAACTAGTGTCTAATATATGCTACACATTAGAATTGGGGGAATTTCTGATTAGGTCAATTTTTGTTTGTTAAAAGTTGGGTATTTTCTTTTTATCCAACACTGGGTAAAGAATGCAAAATCATTAATTTACCCAACAATTGGTTGGACACATATTAAATCGCCCTCATGTTGGGTAAAAATATTGTTTAGAGTGCGCTAAGGTGAAATCATCAATTCTCTATGACTGGCTTACACTCTAGTTCCTGAGAGACCATTCACCAAAGATCCATAATTATACAGGTTCCTCGAAAAGAGTGCATGGTACATCTGATTTATATCATTCATCAAGAAATGAAAAGCGAAAAATGTCAACTATAGATAAATACATCGGAAATCAAGTATCTATTCACATCTTTGTCCAAAATACAAATAGACACACACACACACACCCATAACAAACAAAACAAAAACTACTGCGCAAATCGATTTATAAGCTAAATGAAAGGAATACAAATTTTAATTTTGACCTATATTTTTAAAAATGAAACTTTAATTAGTTTCATCAATGATAATAATGATAATAATAATATGGATATTATAGTCTAAATAAGAATAAATAAACTTATGCTTGTCATTAGAGGCAAAAGTCAAATTCTAGATGATCATTACTTACCAAAACCAACAGACAGACCGTGTGACAAACCAACGGCTAGACCGATATATGACGTACTCGTGTTAAGGTTCTCAACCAGGTAAGGTAATAGGACCCCGAAGGACTTCAGCGTCCCTATACAGACGAGATTGACGACGAAAGCGCCGACGACCACCAACCAACCCCATGTTGGATGCAGGTCTCGCAGACTACAGCTGCATTGAGACATGATCGTTACCTACATCCGTGTTTGGGTCAGTATGGATGTCCAAGGTTTCACCTAAAAGACAGTTTGGAGGACTTTCGATCAATACAAGTTAGTTCAGACGACTTTCAATCCTCTCTAGATATTATGCGAAGATGACTTTTGAGGCGAAGCAGTTTCTTGCTCCTTCCCTTTACACACTAAATAGAGCCTAAGAGTTAGTCCACGTCATCAACGGGTTACTCTCAAAATATGATGATTATGCAAAATTCCATGTTCTTTTTTAAACGAAAGCAGTGGGATAGCTATTGCCTATCCCGGTTTCACCATGTTTCACAGTATTCCGCCAACATATATCTGGTGAATTTAAAGAAACTCTTTACAGAATAAAACGAATCTTGATCCAAGTGATAATGCCATGCAAGACAGATCGACTTATAGCATGGTAGGTTCACATCAAACACGGATATACATGTACTACCGTCATTCGCATTAAAAATCACATCCATCATACGACACCACTTTGCGGGTAGGGGGTGGCTATGATACTTCATGTCATTGAAATAAACTGAATACATGACACAGGCCTGCAGTAGGCTAGGTGATTTGCTCAAAATATGCATTACAATATAAGTCACAGTCAAGTTCACATTAAAAGGAAGTTGAATAAAAGGTCACTTAGTATTAAATTCAAAGGGGTCGCTTCAAAGAATTTTTGAAGGCTTTTGCCATATATTGTAATGAATGACTCCATATTCATCTAAAGAAATACATTCTGTTTTTTTGTTCGTGACGATTTAGGATTGATTTGGGGTTTTTAATGGCACAGTTATAGTTGACACACTTGACATGTTTCAGGTTTATTTATATTAAGTAGGACAAATTTCAAAAAGAGGCACTATTAGGGGGTTCTTCTGTAAGAACTCTTAGAACCAAAACAAGTATTTGGTAGCATTGGAAAGATGTAAAATATGTTTTATCGTTATAACGTTATTCATGATGATGAATTTGTTCGATATTGTAAGTCGTTATGTTTGATGGTTAGAAAGGATTTATGTTCATTTTCATCATAATGTTTGTAAATATAAAGGAAAGACAATTTACACTGTTGGTCATAATGATGGAATAATCATTTTTACCCCAATTTATTGAATGATTTTGACAATGATTTATTCCTAATAGATCTAGATAATAGTATACATTCTCAGATTTTATTGAATGACAATTGGGGAGTGTTTGTTTTGCGTGACTGCTAACGCATGTGTGTGCTACAATGCTAATCAACTAGGGGACCTACGTCCTTAAGTCATTACTGACAGTAATGGGGATTAATACCTCATAAAAGGGCACTAATATAGCACATCGACACGGTTTTGATCCTGGGGGCTAACAGTAACGAGGCCATTGCTTAGCCAATGAATCATGACTGTACGCAGCGGATGCTAGTGTACGTCGACGCCCATACAAAAACAAAAAACTAAGAAAATGCAATACATTTTCAATAATTCATTGCATTTTGCCCCGACCCCCAACATAAAAAAAATCCTCTATGTGGGCATGCCTTGAACCATAATGCATGACCCTACTGATGATTTTTTCCTGTTGGGGACCGGGGGAAAATGCAATGAATTATTGAAAATGTATTGCATTTTCTTTGTTTTTTTTCTTCAATTTAGAGATTTTCTGAAAAATCAGAGGCTGGAATATAAATAAGTAAAGCTGTATTCATGTTTCAAAAGGCTATGTTAGTTGGGCTAGAGTGGCCCTTGTTCAAGACCGCAAATGCCTTCAAAGTGCATGGTTATTGCTCTTATTCTTATTCATAACATTAATTTTCTAGTGCCCTTTTCGGACCTAAAGCTGCTCTAACGGTAATTTTAGACCCCAAAATGTGTGAAATTTAGATTAAATACGAGTAACAAATCAGCTTCCCTTTCAAGTGAATACACTGACCGTTAATTAATTAATTAATAAAAATCATACACGGGGCTTCTTGTTGTGCGTATATTATAACCAACATGAAAAACCAACATTGGCATTTGCTGGAATAAAGCGTTTAAGGCGCCAACTCGTTATTTCAACGGCTGGGTCAAATTAGAAATAGTCACATTTATGAACCGATTATCATTTAACAAAGATGATTTTGTCATTTAAATTGTATGTTCTTTCAAATTTGTCACTCATTTTTTCATTATCAAACCCCCAATACACATTTTTGTGTAGCGCCTTCTGCAACAAAACTCAACTATCCCTTTGAGTTCAATCATTTTGTGTATCTTCTATCAAATTGCGAAACGCAAGTAAAATACCGAACAAATTGAGAGCTCGATACGAGCATTGGAAAGTCTCCATTGTCATCATCGTCATCATCATCATCGTCATCATCGTCATCATCGTTCTCTGCATAATCATCATCATCATTATCATCGTTCTCTGCATCATTATCATCATCATAATCATCGTTCTCTGCATTATCATCATCATCATTATCATCGCTTTCTGCATCATCATCATCGTTCTCGGCATCATTATCATCGTCATCATCGTCGCTCTCTGCATTATCATCATCATCATCATCGCTCTCTGCATTATCATCGTCATCATCATCATCTTTCTCGGCATCATCATCATCATCATCGCTCTCTGCATTATCATCATCATCATCATCATAATCATCATCATCATCATTATCGTTCTCGGCATCATCATCATCGTCATCATCATCATCGCTCTCTGCATTATCATCATCATCATCATCGCTCTCTGCATTATCATCGTGATCATCATCATCTTTCTCGGCATCATCATCATCATCATCGCTCTCTGCATTATCATCATCATCATCATCGCTCTCTGCATTATCATCATCATCATCATCGTTCTCTGCATTATCATCATCATAATCATCATCGCTCTCTGCATTATCATCATCATCGCTCTCTGCATTATCATCATCATCAGACAATCATCTTTCTCGGCATCATCATCATCATCGCTCTCTGCATTATCATCATCATGATCATCGCTCTCTGCATTATCATCGTGATCATCATCATCTTTCTCGGCATCATCATCATCATCATCATCATCATCATCATCATCGCTCTCTGCACTATCATCATCATCATCGTCATCATCATCATCATCATCATCTTTCTTGGCATCATCATCATCATCATCGCTCTCTGCATTATGGTCATCATCATCATCATCGTTCTCTGCATTATCATCATCATCATCATCATCATTATGCCTAATGCTCTCAATCTTAGGGTAGAAGCATGCAGTCGACTGTAATGTTTTTGACGTAGAGGGTAATCTTCAATTCTAAGAGAATGCACGTATTAATGATACTTCCCCCAAAAAAGTGATTTTAGGCTGCAATTGAGATGGCTCTTTAATTTATTCTAGAAAGGGACGCATTCGTTAAACAAGAATAAAAGGTAAATTTAATGAGATTTTTTTTTTCTTGGGGTGGGGTTACAAGTGGTTTTCACAATAACCCTAAACTTTTTTGTGAAAGCCACTTTACTTGTAATGAACGAACGTTTGAAATTTTCGAAAGGCAAGTAAAGATTGGTGACAGGAATTTATCTCACTACAAAGAAGTTTAATGTTATTATAATTCACAGTTATTGCCCCAAAGTTATGGAATAATCTCTCCATTTATATACGAGAAGCCCCTACATTAGAATCATTTAAGTTTCTCCTGAAGACCCACCTCTTTCCATAATTGTGATTAACTCCCCCCCCCCCCAAGATATTTATTTTAAGAGTAATTAATACTACCTTGCAGTTTAATGATAGTGCAATTTCTATTGCATAATGTTGTATTTAAGATGCATAATTGTTATATTGAATATAATAATTTGTATTTAAGTTGTATTTTAATATTTCAAATGGTTTATTTTATGTCTGAATCCATATCTGGTTTATTTATATATTTCAATCAATTTCGATGCAGTCCTTATTTGTGTAATGTCATATTCTTCTTTGCCGTTTACTTGTAATATTGTTTCTTTAGTATTTCTCACTTTTCCTTCCTTATCCTTTCTTCTTTCTCTTGCGCTTAGAAACATTGTATTAAGCGCATTATAAATGTAATGTGTTATTATTATTATTATAAAATAATTGGAAGCTCATAAAGTAATTTTTCACCTTAACTAGAAATCAACGTCCCCTTCAAACTAAATATATTAAGAACCACTTTAAGCTTACAGGAATTCGGAGGCGGTTATGAATGTTTAATGAACAGTCAAAGTAGTCCTTTTTTAGTATGTAGGTCTGATCAAATCACTTCAAAATGTGGGGATGTAGGCCTACCCCCTTCCCCGTGTCCCCCTTTCTTCGGTTCAACTACCGGTCGTTCTTCTGTGGATTCCTTCACATTGGCCATTTTATATTGACATGATGACTGACTGGATGGGAGCAAGCTACCTAAACCTGAGTGGGATGCTCAGATTAATAACAAGAAAATACGTGCGGGGAGGGAAGAAATGAATATCATTGGTGAATCGAATCCACTGTCGACAGATGTCGTTATTTATATCTGTCATAGCTCATGAAAATAAATATATATTCGCTTGAGCAATACATCTTTTATTTCCAACAAAAGATACACTATTGGCAATCAGAAGAAAGCTGTATACTGGTGAGAGTAGACCTATCAAAGATTGGGAGATAGGCAGAGACTGAGAGGGTAACGACAGAAAGTAGGAGGAGGAGGAGGAGAGAGAACATATTAATATTTCGTACTTTTCACACTTCCCTCATCACCTTCTCATTGCGACACAGTGTTTTCATTTAGGCGCGAAAAATCTAGATCGCCGGGACGAGCTGTCCCTTGGTGCAGACGATGAAGGAACGATATCAGGTCTCAGCGATAGGGTGAGAGCGCGCTACATGAAGGCGCGAAAAGAATCGCTATCGGTGCAATCTCCGTCTGCAGAATGATGAAGATGGTGGATGGTGCATTGTGGGATAAAGAGGAAGGATCCGTGAAATAGGCTTAGACTGTGCAAGTA